GTTGTTGTTGATTTAATCTTGTTTTTGTTGATCTACACATTATTGTTGTTGATTTCATCTTGTTGTTGTTGATCTACACCTTGTTGAAGTTGATTTACATCTTGTTTTTGTTGACCTTCACCTTGTTGAAGTTGATTTACACCTTGTTGTTGTTGCTTTGCACCTTGTAGTGGTTGTTGATCTACACCTTGATGTACATCTATACCTTGTTGTTTTGGATCTACCCATTGTTGTTGTTGATCTACACCTTGATGTGGTTGATCTACATCTGGTTGTATTTTATGTACACCTTGTTGTTGTTGATCTTCGCCTGGCTGTTGTTGATCTTCACCTGGTTGTAGTTGATCTACACCTTCTTGTTGTTGCTGGTTTACACCTCGCTTTTCGAGTGTAAGCTGTTGTTCAGATATAAATATACTTTTTCTCTTTCGAAGATGATTATTTGCTTGTTTGTTAAAACTAGATTTTTTATACGGGTTTGTATTTCTGTCACTGTCACTCTCAGATTCGTCAGCTTTTGGATCGTAGTCTTTATCTTGGTCACTATCATCCCCATAACAACTAGATTCATCAGATGAATTCCTGAAAAGTGTATTTTAACATCTCTTAGGTATAGTGGGCAAGTTATAAATTGAAAATTTCTGTTTGAGATAACTAGTTTTGACTAAATCGGCAAGAATATTATTAATCATGTTAGCAGTTTCTTTGAAAATTGGTTTCGGTAAAATGGCATAATGTTTAGGATTATTCAGTTGATTCTCTGCTTCTGAAACGTAATCCTCCCTATTCAGAATGACACAACATGAACCTTTGTCACTCTTTTTAATAACAATGCTATCGTCTTTCTTAAGTAACTATAACGTTTCACGTTCCACCCGTGTGAGATTAGGCTTTTCGTGTGTTATGGAAAGGTTCACTGTTTGGCTATTCATACTCGCAAATGCTTTCAATATTTCAGGATGGATGGCGGTCTGAGGGGGTGTCCACGTGGATTTAGGAATAAACATTGTTCTAGCACCACGTGGGGGGTGGTTTCGAAAAAAATATGTGCAGCTAAAATTTCGTTGAAATCGTTCAATGGATGGTCGGAGATAATTCAAGTTAGCTATCTTTGGTGTGGGAATAAACTTAAGTCTACGGTCTAAGATTGAATGCTGAAGGGGTTTGAGAATTTTGCGGCTCAAGTTAACTACAGTTTGGTCTAGCGGTGGCCTCTCAGTATTTTTATCCCCAGTAATTAGTTTAAAGACTTACTCGAGCTGGTGTATCCAAAACAAATAAATGCTGTTTGCTGTTTCTGGAGACCAATGAAGATTATCAACTGGTTCGAATTCTTCTTCGTAGGGTGGTAAGATTGTTGCGCTGTTGATACTGGACTCCATCATCATGTTGTTGAGAGTGCTGAGGTTCTGTTGAGATTTTATTTGAAATAGGTATACATGTGAAGAGGATCTTGGAGTTTGGGAAGGTTTTGTTGGCTGTGGCGATTAATTTCTGGGCTTGGTTAAAGGAGGTCTTTAGTAGCTGATCACGGTTGTTGAGGCCTACATGAAGAATAATGGTAGTAGGTTTGGGATCATGGTCGTATGATTCCAGGATTGACTGTATGTGATGGATTTGGGCACCGGGGTAAGAATGTATTTCGGTGTCTGAACTGGTTTTGGTAATTCGATTCAGGTTAGATGATCCAATTATTAAGGTAGATTTCTTTAGAGCAGGTAGCTTCCATAATGATTTGTCCTTGGTTTGGTGATAATACGGTTTGGTAGCGGATATAATGGTCGTCGACGGTGTGATTGGTACTGGTTTGGTAGATGTTAGAATTGTTGCATTGGGAACGGATTGGGATCTGGTTGGGGGGGGTGGGGGGGGGGGGAGGTCTGGATACACGTCTCGACTTGGATGGAGACTGAGGGGTGGTTTGCTGGTCCAAAAACGCACAGAAGGAAGAAAGGTTGGCGGATCCTGGATCACGTGGTGAAGACTCAGATGGTGTGGAAGGGGAAGACGAGTCTGAAAGTGAAAAGAGAAGGGGTGTGCCCTCTCTATGAGAGCGTTTACCTATGTCTGCTGGACTAGGAGTAGGTTCGGCAGCGTGGTGGCTCTAGATGGTGCAGGTGAAGTGTCCATTTCAGTTGGTAGAGATATGGTTACTCTGGTTTTTGTTTCGTTGATTGTTTGGAGATTACAGCTTGAGTGAGACGTTTCCCATAGGAGCGACGGGCCCAGGACAGGGCATGAGAAACGATGCGGTCGACGGCAGGTGATGATAAAGACTTGGTACGAATGGTGGTCAGCTTCTCTTGAAGTGTGGTTTGGTAATGGTCGATCAGGACCTGCGTAACCTTACAGAGCCATGTCCGATTGAGGGATCTAATATTCGCGTCGACAGCTGATGTTTTCATTGCTGGACGGATAAAACTATCCAACTCAGAGACTTTGCATTTGAAGGTAAACGCTGGTTGGCCTTGCTGTTGAAGGGTAAGGATTGCCAAATGATGGACGCACTGCAAAACTTGGAAGAACACCTTCACAGAGGGTTCTTCCTCATTATGAGTGGGGACTGGTTGGCGTCGGTTACGTTTCGTGTAATGTTGCCGCCCACGCATGAACTTGTTTGGTTCAGCTCAATAGATAGTCATTTAGTTTTGGAAAAGGGTTTTTTCGTTAAATCTTTTCATAGAATTTTCAAAAACATTATCATACATAATATTATGTATAGGCCTATAGAAAACTTAAAATATCTGCTTAGCTGGAAACGATAGTTTGATTGATCAACCTTTCCACTTAGTTACTGTGATTGTATTTCACTAAAAAGTCATATTGACCCAATATTAAAAGAATTGCTTTGTCATTATTATCTGGAAAAACACATTTTAAGGAAATATGTCTGTTTACGTGCACATTGGCTATATAAATGCCCTCACTATAGATGACGATCTAGTTTAATAACCATAGGACCGAGGGAAGGTTATTTTTATATTTCTATTTATTTATAACTGTTTTAACAGGATTTTCGACACAGACTAATTAAAATTAGACCCAACTTTTTTAGGTTGACAACTAAAATAAAGATATTGTTAAAAAGCTTATGAAATTACATTGCAATAACATCAAATTAAATGGTGAAAAAGTTCATGGGATATAATACCCCAAGGATACGGAAAATATGTAAATTACCCATTTTCAGTGTTGTACAAATCAAACATAAAATATCAAGATCACAAATAATGACAATCTAGTCAAAGGAGATGCTGAAGTAGAAAAATGGCGGTTGTGGGGGCTCGTGGTCAAGAGATATCACTACTTGAAAAAAATTGACTTTAAATTGTGCAAAGACAAAGTCGAAATTCACAAAAATCTTCTACAAGACCTAGGCATTTTTCTTACTTACATTTTAAAACAAGTTTGAGAACAATCGGATAAAAAATGTAGTCTGCATTAAATTTTTAAGATTTTTTGCTTTTTTCAAGATGACAGCTAAACGGTTAGGAATTTGCATATACGGCAAAGTTACAAAATTAAGGTATTGATGTTGAATTAAAAATTTTAAAGTTCTTGTAAAACATAGTCCGAAAAGCCTTTTTTTTTATTTTTTGCCTTTTTCGGTCATTTCCGTCCATTTTCCGACCATTTTCCGAAATTTCTTGAAAAATGTTTTTGTTATAATTGATAATTAGGTCTCTACGCATCTACAAAGTTTTGTGAAAATCGAATAAAAATTGAGGAAGTTAGAATTTTGACCAAAATTCAGTAGAAAAAGTTAGTGAAACAATTTTCGAATTAGGATTCTCTGAAACAGCAGTCTTTTTGGAAGTTCTTTTAAGAATACACTTTTGGCGGATTTCTGAAATTTTCAGCTACACCATTTCCGGTTGGAGTCTGAAAATATATTCAAAATGTTACTACGCGTTCTTGAATGTCTGACCCATTGCCAAAAATGTAAAAGTATTACAGATTTTGCTAGGTATTGTGACAACAATATGAAACAAAAAATAATAATAACTAAATACCTAACGACATTAACTCGAAGCTGTAGATAAAATAAAAAATTAACGATAACAATACAGCTTCCGAGCTCAACTCCAAAGCTGTAGAAAAATAAAAAAATTACGATAACAATACAAATTCCGATCTAAACTCAAAAGCTGTAGAAAAAATAAATAACTAGTTGAAACAAACTCGACAAAGACTGGTGGATGAAATACGACTAAATTGGGCCTAAATCCAATAAAGGGGAATTGCTCTTAAATAAAATCCGTTAGACCCCTTCTCAACCCCTTGGCTACGGACTACTGCTATTCTATTTTTATTTTACAGCTGAGCGATATGGTATAGAACACTTAAAGATGAATGACCATAAGAAGGAAAAGGTAGGCTCAGATTACTTTTCTCACCTGACAAATAGAGAGTAACAACATCAAAATATTTAGTCACAATAAATTTGGTCAAAATAGTCGGAGTAAATTGGTCACATGGTCAAATTGGTCACATGATAATTGATTACAGGATGGTGTTCATAAACAAATTGCTCATACAGAACTCAATACTCAACTAATTGTAGTAAATTTCAGTCTAATTAAAATTAGACTAAATTTTCGTTCCGTTTTTAAGCACTCAGCCGTTAGACACTGCCAGCCAATCAAATTACTTCCCTCTCCAACGCTGGGATTTTGTGACGTTAACAAAAGGTGTATTCCGAGATGCATAAGGCTAGTAAGTGTATCAACTGAATAACCTTTTGTCAATCTTACCGAAGAGCTAAGTGGCTAGACCTTAAATTAAAGAAGTAAAAACTAGTGGAAACATAACAATATTTTGGCCTAATTTTAATTATACTGAACAAATTTGAACACACGTTTTTTTAAAAAGGAATGCTGCATGACAAATTGTTATATTTTAGTTGGTCATTAATGTTGACAAGAATCATGTAAATAGTGTGACAAACTGAACTCTTTCAATTCCAGTCATTTATCCACTACACAGATAAAAAATCTGCAAAAAAGATTTTACAATCTGGACTCATTAAGCAGTCAACAGACACTAAAAATGATGTCCGTTATGGAGTAGGTGTGTATGGAACATCGATGAAACCAAGCAATTCGTCTAAAGATATAGCTCGGAATAATTACGATGGTAGACCCAGTGTTTACGAGAATAAGACGGATAAAACTGCAGTCGCATTCGAATTTAGCTTACCGAAAGACAAGGTTGAGATTGCAAAAGACAAACAAGGAAGGGATATATTGGTACACAAGGGCGATCTATCCACGAGTAAAGTAAAGAAAATCCATTACAGGGAATAAAAAGTAAACAGTAATATTTTGATTTATTCCATGTAAACGCATTGGTTTTATGATGTTTATGATGTAATAAAAATAGTAAAGTGTTCACTTTGAGTGTCTTTTTGACAAAATTACTTTGGGCGTGACAATTATCATGTCAAGGCTATGATTCGCCATTTTCGGTTGATTTGAGTCTTGGATATTATGTAAATAGCCTTCAGTACTGTACGGAAATTGCATAACCTCTTCAAATATACTTCAAACTCGAAATTTTACTTCTTTTTCTTTAAACATGTGTGTCTTTTCTATGCATGATACTTTATAATAGACACAAATGGATTCTAAGGCTAAATTTCGTCGGTGAGCTGTAAACACTATCCCTGATTAGTTTACTGAAAAAATTCCATGTTTCCGAGACTCAGGTGGAGAAGGTGTCTTTTTGTGATACGTTTAAGTTTCATATATATTTCTACAGAATTTATAATTCATAAATAAAGGAGAGTATTTTCTATAACAATTAGAACCAATGCGTCGTTAAAGGTATACAAACCATTTATACCTCTTAATATATTCTTCCGCATTTTGATTATTGTGATATTATATGGGATGGGTGCACCAACGAACTAACAACTACATTAAAAAATCTTCAATTAGATGCACACAGAACTATATGCGGTGCTGTTAAGGGAACTAGCCATGCTTTACTATACAAAGAAACTGGTTTCATTACACTGCAGGAGAGACGACGGCGGCATAAGCTGACAATGATGTATAAAATGCTAAATAATCTCACACCAATCTACCTATCAGATCTCCTCCCCACTAGAAATATCAATTACAATCTTAGGAATAACAACGATGTACCGTATCTTAACTGCAGAACACATATCTTTTATAATACATTTATTCCATCAAAGATCTGGAAATGGAACAAACTACCAAATTTTCAAAAACTGCATCTCTCAATTTCATCTTTTAAAAAGTCGCTTAAATCAAATGATATCCACACAAATAATATAATTTTTATATAAAAGCATGTCTGCTTTGGTTGCCTCCTGACTCCACACAGAAAATGTCACGTGTGCAAAATATGGGTGTAGGGA